AAAAAAAAAAAAAAAAGGAAAAAAAATGGATTATTCTAGTCACTAGAGGGCAGTGCTGTGTATAAAGTTAGTACTTTAAAACTTTAATATTGTATTATACCATAACTCTCCTTTTCAAAGGTGGAAGACAAGACCAAAATCAATGTGAGGAGCAAGGATAATGTTCTCGTGAGTTTCAGAATGCGCAGTATATGCAGGCTGAGGTACACCTAAAGAAGACGTTTATAGGTGAATCACTAGACGTGCTGAAAATGTGTTCAAATGGCAAAACACAATGGGAAACATGAGGCAAAAATATATGGACTTGAGGCCAAAACCGCTTGCTCCTGCAGAACACATTCCCTGGGATTTAGCAGCAGTCTTAAAGTTATGTCCATAACTGGAACGGGATGTGATCATTGATACTGATAGCCACCATTTTTTCAGGGCCTGATGAGTTGATTTTCTACATTAATGCTAATCCTTGAAACAACTTTGTGAAGTTAACGTTATCCTGTTTTTAAGTAGGATAACTGTGACTTGCCCAAGGTTGTTCAGTGAATAAGCAGTACAGCTGGGATTCAAACTTGGACCTGCCTGGCTCCAAAGCCTTTCCTTTTTCCATCACTCTGTGGGTCTTAGGTTCCTGTAGGGGCCAAAGGGAAACTTCCCCTTTGCCCTCTGAAGGTTCACTCTGAAAAATCAACTGAGAAAAGGCAGATTAATTGGAGAAAAGGCATACCAATATATTAGCTTGCATGAAGGGGAGAGCCACAGAGTGATTATCCCCCCAAACCCCTACACAATAGGGTTTAGAAGCTTAAATACCACCTTAAGGTTACAGAAAGAGTGGGCTCGGATCAGTGGCATAACAGTTTCCGGGAGCGGGAGAAGAGGAAGCCTGGCTAGCAAAGGTGGTCTTGTTACATAAATGAAGCTCCACAGGTGGCAACCCTCAAAAGAATAGATGATGAATGTTTTAGATCTTTTTTGTTGTTTGAGATGGAGTCTTGCTCTTATTGCCCAGGCAGGATTGCAATGGCGCGATCTTGGCTCACTGCAGCCTCCGCCTCCCAGGTTCAAGCGATTCTTTTGCCTCAGCCTCCCCAGTAGCTGGGATTACAGGCGCATGCCACCATGCCAAGCTAATTTTGCGTTTTTAGTAGAGACGGGGTTTCACCATGTTGGCCAGGCTGGCCTCAAAATCCTGACCTCAGGTGATCTGGCCTCCCAAAGTGCTGGTATTACAGGTGTGAGCCACCATGTCCCAGCATGTTTCAGACCTTTAAAGTGTCAGACTGAGTTAATCTTCCCAAGATCCAGACAAGGGAAAGCCAGGCTGCATCAAGCAGATTCTCTGCAAATACAAGTTTCCCCCACAAAAGACAACTTTGCAAGGCTACTTCTGTTGGCTCTCTGAACAGCCATCTGAAAATATGACAAATATATTTTGGGATGAAATATTTTTATTTCCTTCATTGGCATTGCTGGAACTGGAGCACTGTCAGTTTCTGTAATAGCATCTTACATGGCATTAAAATAATGGGAATCATTCTATAGCAGTCTTTTTGCTTTCGGAATGTTCTAGATCTTATTCCCTGCTAGAGTTGTAGCATTTTCCTAATACTATTAGTTGAAAGTCTTCCACCCATGCATATCACCTACCCTTTTTTTAAGCCAACATTCAGTGATTATTTGTCATCACCGAAGAATTGCTTAAAGGGTTAAAGATGAAAAATATAGGGAAAGGAAGGGATGTCAGATCTGAATGATAGTTGATTTATACTGTGTAAGTTTCAAAAGTAGCCCCAGGGCGCAGTGGCTCAACGCTGAGGAAAGAGAGAGACCCTCTCATATTGTTTTATACTCAGTACCTGTTATTAAGAAAAAAGCAAGTAAAACCAAAGACAGGCAGCCCAGTGCCAGGCCCACAACCAGGCTTGGGCCTGCCTGGCCTAAACCCAGTAGTTAAAAATCAACTCATAACTTAGAAACCGATATTATTCATAGATTCCAGGCATTGTATAAAAGAATATAGGGAAACTCCCGGTCCTGTTTTGTTTCTCTCTGACAACCGGTGCATGCAAACCCTGTCACGTACCCCTTGCTTGCTCAAATCAATCATGGCCCTTTCATGTGAAATCTTTAGTGTTGGCCAGGCGCAGTGGCTCAAGCCTGTAATCCCAGCACTTTGGGAGGCCGAGACGGTCGGATCACTAGGTCAGGAGATCGAGACCATCCTGGCTAACACGGTGAAACCCCGTCTCTACTAAAAAACACAAAAAACTAGCCGGGCGAGGTGGCGGGTGCCTGTAGTCCCAGCTACTCGGCAGGAGAATGGCATAAACCTGGGAGGTGGAGCTTGCAGTGAGCTGAGATCCAGCCACTGCACTCCAGCCTGGGTGACAGAGCCAGACTCCGTCTCAAAAAAAAAGAAATCTTTAGTGTTGTGAGCCCTTAAAAGGGACAGAAATTGTGCACTCGGAGCTCGGATTTTAAGGCAGTAGCTTGCTGATGCTCCCAGCTGAATAAAGCCTTTCCTTCTACAACTTGGTGTCTGAGAGGTTTTGTCTGCAGCTGGTCCCGCTATAGTTCTTGGTTCCCTGACCGGGAAGCGAGGTAACTGATGGACGGCTGAGGCAGCCTGTTAGGCGGCTTAGGCCTGCCCTGTGGAGCATCCCTGTGGGGGACTCTGGCCAGCCTGAGTGACGCGAGCCAAAGAGTGCTCCCAGGTAGGCAGTTTTCCCGGTGGAACGCCTCATCAGAGCAGTGCGTAGCAGGCCCCCACAGAGGATTAACACAGTGGCTGAACACCGGGAAGGAACTGGCACTTGGAGTCTGGACATCTGAAACTTGGTAAGACTAGTCTTTGGAACTTGCCCCACTCCATTTGAGTGGAAGCGTGGCCTGATCACCCATGGGGTGCCTGTATTGGCACTTTTGTTCTGGTTTTGTCTTGACTTAAATTGCCGGATACTTTGGTTTTGGTTTTGACTTGGCTTAAATTTCTTGGTACTCGGATTTTGAATTTCGTGGTATTCTGATTTTGGTTTGGTATAAACGATAAAAGTGTGTGTGTGTGTGTGTGTGTGCCCTCTTTACCCGTTCTATGTTTTGTGGTGAATGTGTGTGGTGTGAGTGTGGTATTTTGTCTTGAGAAAACATGGGTCAGGTGCAAAATAAGCCCACTCCACTGAGAACTATGTTGAAAACTTTCAAGAAAGGAAAAAAGGGGGGAGGCAGAATTTACATAAAAAGAATGTTATATGGTAAATTCTTGTCCTGAAATAAATTAACTGGTTTTTTTTTTAAAAGTTTGTAATAAGTCAGAAAGTTGAGACATGTCAAAAAAAAATTGTCTGCGAAAGTCATAAAAGAAAAAAATGTTATAAAAAATTTTTATGCAAAAAATGTCGTATAATTTAAAAATAATATGGCCTCCTGAGTACTATTGGAAAAAAGAGTTTATGTGCAAAGTGTATAAAAAAGTAAAATATACCTTTAGTAAAAAGATTATAAAGAGGCATAAGAATGTGGATTTTTACCTACATTAAAAGGTCAAAAAATTATTGTTTTGAAAGTTTAGGCAAATTTTAAAACGTTAATTGTAAAGAAAATTCTGTGTGTAAACATAATAGCTAGAGTTAAAAAGGTATCATCCAGTTTTTCTGTGAACTGGACATTTAAAATGCAACAGTTTTTTCTTAAAACATCAACCTGCTCCTTAACAAAAATTATAAAAGGTTAAAAAGAGTCTATAAAATCTTACCTTATGGTCAAACATGAAAAATTGGATAAATATGTCTACAGGGTTTTATTAAAATTAATAGCACACTAATATAAAGGTAAAATTTAGCTTATCTGGTATAAAAATCATACAAAAAGCATTGTTAAACATAAAATGGTGGTTAGCTTTTTTTTGGTCTAAAAACTAATAAAAATAGGTGCTAAAGAAAACGTTCATTTTACTAGAAGATCATAGAAGTTAAAGACTTAAAACAAACTTTGGCAATTAAGACAGCATACCAAGATGTAAATGCCTGGTTGAAATGGATCAAATATTCCATCTGCACGTTAAACAAAAGCAATTGTTATGCTTGTGTACATGGCAGGCCAGAGGCCCTGATTGTCACCCTTCCACTAGGGTGGTCCTCCAGTCAACCAGGCATGGGCTACATGGTAGCTCTTTTCCAGGATTCTACAGTCTGGAGTAATAAGTCATGCCAAGCTCTCTCTGCTATATCCCAAAGTCCCTGCAGGTCAGTCCCCGAGGACCATCCAGCTTGCATCTCCCAACACTGAGTTCACTTTGTGTCTCTCACGGCAAGGAGGAGACAGTAGTCCTTGGAGACCTGAAGGGATGCAGTGAGCTTAAGAATTTTTAAGAGCTTATTAATCAGTCAGCCCTTGTGCATCC